AACAACAAACAAAGTTAGCCAGTGTTTTTGTTTCTCTACCATGTTTCCACGTAAACAAATCCAGCGACAATAAAAACAAAATGACTTCCGGTATTGATTTTCTCAATAAAACAAAAAAAAAGATTATTCATTCAATTTATTTAAGTCTAACGTCTACCCACTTTTTATGTTGCTACCCACACACACTTCCATGTTATAATCTCTGAAAGCTATTTAATGTGACCACTATCAATTTGAATTTTTCTATTTACAAAATAAAATTGGCTATTTCCGGTTTGTATCTTCCTATTATTTTGCGACTTTACGCGTCTTGTTCTAGCGAAGTGGATCCTGACACGCTTCCTGGTGCAGCTCAGGATCCTGCAGAGAAGCAAGACACATTGCACCTGCGAGCGTGCATGTGCACCACTACGCTGCAGACAGTGCAGACTTCAATTGATCAACCTCAAGTTCACATTTAAGTCTTCAGTCTACTAGAGCAAATGCAAAAATATGACAACTATAACAATAACTTTACTTGTCTCAGCCTTTTTCTTTACATGCTTTTCTAGAAATAGTCCAAACTTTTCATAAAACCTCAATAACTGTCTACTAGCAAGTTGTCTGAGAACCCTACAGTGAAAAAAGTTCACATAACTGCTTTCAGAGCAAAAGTCCATTCACACAACATTTAAATACATTTGTAAAATATATAATGTATAATTTAATTATACAGTATTATGCACATATTCTGGATATGGGTGTGTGTAATTTGTAAAATGAATGGAACTTTAATGGACTATGGAAACAAACTGAGAAATTCTGGATCTTTATACTGAAAAAACATTATTGCAGTTCTTAATAAAAGACAATAAAATAATAAAGAACAGTGGTGTTAAAATCAGTTTATTATAGGTTTCTCAAGTGCATTAAAAGAACAGTGGTATTAATCAATACAAGTCTCCACTGTTACATTATAAACAGACGACATGCAACACACGACAGACAAGTTTGTGCGAGTTTGTTTCCATGTTATTGGACTTTCTTAAATACTTGATGGCAGACTTTGTCGAGTGCAGTGATTTCCTGAAAGAGAAGTTACAAACCTTTAAACTGTGAGTCCAACATGATGCAACAAATCTGTCTTTTAGTTGCATAAACAGGTTGTGTTAGAGCTATAAACTTTAGATTGTGCTTCACTGTCTTTTTGTTATCTTATGAAGATATGGGAAATCAATGTGATTTAATAAAGGGTTGTAAATTATTTCATTAAACAATTTAGGAAAGGATGTGTTTTTTCTTTTGATGTTTCCTTCTGGCGTTTACTTCTTTGTTCAATGTGGCAGACAAGAGAGAAT